ACTTTAATGTTTAACTGATGTTTTAAAAAACATTGACAGCTATTGCTCTGCAAGTTGACTTTAGATGGTCTCGTTTCCTTTAGTCTGTTAATTAGTTTCATTTGTTTAAATTGCATGGCTAATGAGGTCACTGTCACTGTATCCCTTAAACCACAGGCCTGTGCTTAGCCATTTATCTCATAGAGGATAAGTCTGAAGAGAAGGAAAGGGGAGGGGTGGTGATAGTGGTGAAAGGCCATCTTTACAGAGTGCTCTGTGGGCCATAGAATTTGTATTTCTACCCTCTATGTTAAGTGTTGTCTATCTATTGTCTTATTTAATTTTCACAATGACCCTAAGAGACGGGGAATATTAATGTCCCTCTTTTAGACTAGGTAAGACTGAAGTTTAGAGATGTGGAGTGATTGAACTCTATAGCTGGTAACTTGTAGAGCTGGACTTTGAACCTATGCAGCATATGAGCATAAATCTGTCACCCCTGACAGTTTAAAAGAGCAATCCCTAGTGATGGTGGATCCATTGTGTCGCACAGAGAGGAGGAACAAAAATTGTCTCTGATGGTGTAGAGCCAGCTTGGGCAATATTTTGGAGTATGGGCAGGTAGTTCTGTTTTGTATTTCTCCACATGGACGTGTAAGAGGAACAGCTAGGTGGGAGGGGTTTAGATGTTCCAAGCTACTTGGAAGAGACCTGAGAATGACAAAGCTTAAATGTGAGTTCACATGCAGCTGAGATAGGAACAGCAGTTTTAAGTGAATTTTCCCATGAACCTATTTCTGCAGTACTTTCCTTTTGTGCAGATTTTGATCCAAAATGTGATGTGGCCAAGTGTTAATGCAGCTGTGTGTCAGAGGGAAAAGTGAGATTGCTTTGGCTAATTCTTGCTTTACTTATGCCTTTAATTTATAAGTTAAAAGATTTCTGTGCTTTCTTGGTAAGGCCTGGATAATGGTGATAAAGGACAGCCGTGAATAAATTCTGGGAACCCAAATAACTCTGCTCTCTTAATTCTCTAGGGACACGTAAATTGAATTGGCTCATCAGTGAACAGAACTGATTGCAAAATCACATCTTAGTGCAATAGGAGCATATGAAGGCTTTCCTCACCCTCCTTTGATTTAATTAAATTGTACTCCCATTGTAGCTTCTGGGTGAGGTCTCACAGAATTGCAGTATCCTGTGATTTGTATCAAAGACCTACTTTCCTGCCCTGGTGTTTATCTTCAGAATTGAGCCCTGTGGTTCAAAGAATATGAAGTGTTACTTCTGGGTTAGATGCCAGCTGGTCACATGGGTTAGTGGTGAATGCTTCAGTCTGGAATCAAAAGGCAATTCCCAGTTTCATTTTCTGACTCATGGCAAATTCTTTATGCCAGTGACTCACCTTCCCTAGCTGCCCATGACATCTCATCGTGTCTATCATCATCATCATCATTATGTCTTATGTATCACATGGTTAGTTATTAAGAGTTTGGGCTTTGGAGACAGACTGTAGGAGTTCTGTCTGGATTCTGCCCAATTCTAGCTGCCTAACCTTGAGCAAGTGACCTAACCTCTCTAATGCCTCAGTTTTCTCCTCTATATGTCAGGAATAATTAGGTTGGTGTGAGGACTAAACAAGATAATGCATTTTAGAGTGCTCAGAGTGGTGTCTGACATGTGATAAGTCTTTTGTCATCATCCTTTGGTTTAATCCATTATTGCTATTATAATTATTTTATAATGAGTCTCAGATGGACCCTCATAACATAAAGTAAATCTGTAGTTTGTATTCTCTAGAAGTGTACTCTTGAAAACAAATATTCAGTGATACGGATATTTAACAAATCCTCATGTACAGAGTTCAGCTGAAACTAGTGCATCCCTGAATGAAAGTACTATAGAAAGCCAGAGGGCCAAAAGAGACTTGATTACGGGGGCCAGGTTTTAGAGCACTCTGGCTAAGCAGGATGGATGGACTTTAGCTTAAGTTGGGTTGTTGTGTTCGTGTGTTGAGTGATTCATTCTTCCTTGGAGTCATAACTCAGGAATTGTTGAGTGACTCATGTCACCTTGAATTGGTCCTGGAGAGTTGAGTTCTATCCTTTTAAGACACAGCCTCTTAGAGACTTACTTGAAGGCACACAAACTGGAGATAACTCTACTAATCAATCCTAAGGCAGAAGCCACTGCCAAAGGGACCTTTTAGTTGGGGAAATTGCCCTTGTCTCTGAACCTCAGTCTGGCATTAGTGGGCAACTGTGAGATCTCACGGTTTTCCCAGAACAGACTGAGCATTTCTGAAGGGGTGAATTGCATGCCCTTTGCTTCTGCCAGAATGGAAGGTATTTATAAACCATAGACTACTATTACAGCTTGGTAGTTGTGTGCATTTGCCACTGCCTAGAAAAGTAAAGGACAATTAGAACCTCCCTGCAGCAGCAAGATAGACCAGTATACCACCTTCTAGCTCTCTGTTCTTGGATAAACTATGTAACCTCTCTGGCCTCCAGTTCCACATCCATAAGATGCAAACAACACTAGTGCCTAACCCACAAGGTGGTTAAAAACATTTGATGATGTCATGCATGGAACTTGGTAAGTGCCAGTGAACAAAGCCATTTCCACTTAGCACTGTTCCCATACCACCATCCAGCCTGTGTGATGATGAGGCTGCTTCCCTACCTGGGCCTGCCTTGTCAGGCCATGTAGTCATGCCGTTCTGGCAGGCATGGTTTGTTATCTTTATTTCAAACTCATTCTCTTTGGCTCATTTACCCAACCCAGACAGAGATTAATGGCCTGGCCTCAGAGCACCGGGCGGCACATGTTCCTGACACCTTTGGCTCATTGATTGCGCCTCTGCAGTTTGGGGAATACCTCAGTGTTCTAGGCAGGGCCCTCCTGAGCCCTAGGAGACATTTGAAGGAAAGTAATTTGGTGCAAATTCACCTCCTAATTAAGGAGGGCTGAAAGCTCTTGTTTTATTTTATTATTCCTTCTGGATTTTGCCAGTTAGAAACAGGAGCAGGATTCTCTGGACTAGAATGTGTGAATTTATTGGGAGGAATGAAGTGAGCAGGGATGGCCGGAAAAAGTACTTGCCCAAGTATGATCTCCCCCTGTGCTTGCCGTAGCTACCTGTGCCGTTGTAGTGCATGCCTTTGACTGTGGGTCGCTGGTCTGACCTTTACCCATTTGGCTCTGCAGGATTGTGTTTCTGCTTCTCTCTTTGTCCCATTCTTCTCTCCTCTGGTCTGATGCCTTTTCACTAATCAGACAGTGGTGCTTGAAATATAGAAACCCCTTTTATCCTCATCTTTCTGACCTTCAGCATGTGCCTATTTTTGTACAATTTTTGAGAAATGAATAATAACTGTAAAATGGGAGATTTGTCAAATTATCTGTTTCATCATTCAAAGACCTTCTTGGCTGACTCCTTCAGGTTATAGATGGGGCAGCTGAGATGCAGAGTGGGTGAGAGACTTACCCATGACCCAGGGGCCATGTTGGAATTATTGCTTAGCTCTTGACAAGCATACTTACTAGCAGATAAGAAGGCCCCTTAGGATATCATGACTCTCTTTTCAGAGTTGCTTGGCTCTGTTTCTCTAAGGGTTAAATAAGTGTTTCTCAACCAACAGTGGCCATTATAATCACTGGGAATATCTTTTTTTTTAAGTTATCACCAACTTCATCCTATGCCTTTTCATATCTATAGGATCATAAGCACCAAAGAAAGATTTTGTAGCTATGATTTTTTTTTTCTAAATCAGAAGCTTTATCATATTAATAATGTCAGCATATCAGGGATTGGCAAACCCTGACCTGCAGGCCAAATCCAACTGGCTACCTGTTTTTTGTAGCCCACGAGCTCAACATGGTATTTACAAGTGAATATTTGCCATTGATTCAGTGATAGGAAACACTTTGAAATCTATTTAAGCTAAATGCTATCCTCCCTCTATAAAAATTCTGTTTTTCTCATTAGTCCTATCTGTACTTCAGAATGTTATACTACTGAGAAAAGATACTCCAAGTGGTTGTGATGGCCACTCTTATAGTTGAGAACCAGCTGTATAACCCCTGGGAGAACCAAGCCAAGCATCCCCAAAAAGCCAGCCATGAAACAAGAAGATTGATTTTCACCTGCTAGAAATTTTATACCTGTATTTTCAAAACTTACTCTATTTGAATTTTGTCAGGAAAAAATTATGAAAATCTGTGGTCTCTCTTGTTTTTCAAGTCCCTGTGTAATCACTGGTTTGGTTTTTGCCTCTTAGGTTGCAAAGCCTGAAATACTTACCATCTAGTGCTTTACAAGAAAAAGCTTGCCAACTCTTCTGGTGTGTCACTGTGTGTCTTATGTTGGGACACATTCCCTTTCATGATTTGTATAAATCATTTCAGATTTTTTTTGTTGAAAAAGTAGTATGTTCTCCTTGTAACATTTAAATTCACAGTAAAAAGTTATTGGTCCCATTCCCCAGTGTTAACACTTAACAGTTTGTAATGTATCTTTGTCCAGACTTGGCCATGTACTAGCTGGGAGACCTTAGTTAACCTCTTTAGCCTCAGATCCTCCATCTGTGTATCAGTGATATTAACAGTTCCTACCCAACAGAATTGTTGCATAGATAACTTGAGATAATTCATGTGAATTGCTTAGCGCCATTGCCTGCTGTGCAATTAATGCTTAATGATTTGTAACTAATTAATTTTTTTCTCCCTTTTAGTTTATATACATATATTAGTTTTTTTTTTTTTAAAGGAAGTATGTGACTTTTTTTTTTTTAAACAGTAAAGCTCCAGAGGTGATTCTCTGATGTGCACATACTTAAGAACAGCTGAAGTAAATATTAGGAAGTAAGTAATAATAGAAGGAATTTCCATTTGGGGGCCAGAAATTGCCTTCCATTTTCTAGCACACACTAGGCAAAAGGAGAAGGTAATGGTTTTCTATAGTGAACCTGTTGGGTGGTATAAAATGCACAGAAGTAAATGTTATTTCTGTTTTCCAGGTCTACAACTCAAACAAAGACAGCCAGAGCGAAGGGAGTAAGTATGTTGCTTGGATACTTTTCCTACAGCTGGGTGTGGGCCTGGGCCTGGTGAAATTGCCATTCTGAGGAATAACCACCAGGAGGTGCTGTGGGCACATTGGGTTGGCCCCATTCCCCCAGTGCTTCTGCCCTAATATACAATGTCAGGACGGTCAATGAGCCTGATGGGCATGGCTGTGATGACATCTTGCACTGTATGACCCTTCACACTGTGCAAAGAATTTTTATGTACATTATCTCAGTTAATCCTGTGTTGTCTTAAGAATGTAGCTCCAGTCACCACTTAAAAGTCACTTAATCCAATAATACCCAGCTCCCCCAGCGCCCTGTCCTGTGGGAAGCCAGAATTGACTTTGCCTCCCACACAGTCTCACTCAGAGGCTTGAAGAGGCAAGAACCATCTTAGTGATCACTTAGTAACTAACTCTGTGTTCCTTGTTGCTGCTCTGGAGAGTTATGAGTCGAGACGGTGAAGTCTGTAATAATATTCCGTTTTGATGGGAGTGACCCTGGGCGGCCTCTGTAGCATTATACAGCACGTTTTCCCTGCCACTGGCTCTGAGTACTCTGGTTAATTGTGGTTTCCAAGGGCACCTGTAACCTTGTAAAGATGATGGGATTAAAATGGAACTGCTTTTGCTAAGTGTTTGGGCTGATTATCTCCTTGGTACATAGGGGAAAAAACAAATTCCTTCCACGTTGCTACCAGAGTACAAAGGAAATTCTGTCCCCTTGCCTCAGAATCACTTTTGTAAAATCCATTTGGGAAAAGGTTCCAAGGTAGCCCTCCCATGAATTCTCCTATTGTCAGAAAAGTCAGTAAAACAGTGCCTCTTCTTTTGGACAAAAGGATGAGCCATTTTTGTGTGTGTGAAATCCATTATGGAGCAGAGATTTTCCTTCTTTCACTCTTTCCAAAATACAGATTTTATCAGAAGTTTTAAATAAAATATTAAGTAATTTGGAATGGTTGCTGTTGGTAAGTTCAGAGGCCTTAGGGGAGGAAAACTATTTTTTGTTGTTTCTTTTTTCCCCTCAGGAATTGAACAAGGGAAAATTTTTTTCAAGTAAATATTCAAAGAAACAAGTCATTTTTCCTCCCTCTGTATCAGGTGGGATTGCTTTAGAATATCTGCAATCAACTCTGGCTAACTTGTCCTAAAATAGCACTAGCAAAAACAATATTAAAAATAATGAAGGAATATAGAAATCTTCAGGGTAATTCAAAGTAAGGTAGGAAGAGCTAAAGAACCAAGGCTTGAAAGCTGGACAGTTCTGGAGACCTGAGAACTAACGAGAAAGGATCCTCTGGATGATACTTGCAGGATCATAAAGCCCTTACAATATTTCAGTCCTTGCCTCACTCTTCTGAAGGTCCAGATTGCCAGGAAAGATAGCATCAAACTTTGACCAACCCAGAGGATAACAACGCACCTTGACCGACGGTTTCAAAAGTGCTCATAAAATGAGAGCATGGTGGTTTACCTGCAGGGAGATCAGCAAACTCCCCGGATATGGATATGAGAGGGTAGATGCCCTGCAGGCTGAAATAGCAGATGCCCACCCCACGCCCCAGTCTACAGTGCATGTCTGTTATAAAGGACCCAGAACTGTGGGGGTTGAGACACATATGAATGGAGAACCACCCCCGCCCTCACCCCCAGACCAGAAGCTTGCCTGTAACTTTTGACCTTACGAATCTGCGTGTCTCTCCTTGAGATAAGTACCAATAGATATGAAAGATGACTATTATTCTGCTGGTGCGCATACCAGCTGGTTGTACCATTCTGTAAGGCCTTTAAGGCATAGGTACCAGAAATGTTTAAAAAGTAAACATCCTTTGATTGATGTGTACACGCTGTTGTATTTAAAATGGGCAACCAACAAGAACCTACTGTATAGCACAGGGAACTCTGCTCAATATTATGTAACAACCTAAATGGTAAAAGAATTTGAAAAAGAATTTAAACATCTCCTGCACTGGCAGGCGGGTTCTTTACCAGTAGCACCACCTAGGAAGCCCGAAGAATATATGCTGAAAAAGAATGGACACATGTATATGTATAACTTAATCACTTTACTGTAAACCTCAGTACTATACTATGCACTGTACTCCCCAGGTACACAGTTGACTGTGTAAACTAATACAGCATTGTTAATCAACTGTGTGCTGTGCTATGCTTAGTCACTCAGTCATGTCTGACTCTTTGTTACCCCATGAACTGTAGCCTGCCAGGCTCCTCTGTCCATGGAAATTCTCCAGGCAAGAATGCTGGAGTGGGTTGCCATGCCCTCCCCCAGGGGATCTTCCTAACCCAGGTCTCCCACATTGCAGGTGGATTCTTTACCATTTGAGCCACCAGAGAAGCCCTATACTCCAATATAAAATAAGTTAAAAAGAAAAACTCCCGAAGTATTAATAATTAAAAAAAAAAAAGTAAATATCATTCGACCTAGTGATTTGTCCTAAAGAATAGACTGGAGTACAAAGATGTTTCTGTTAAAAAAAAAAAAAAAGTTCACCAGAGCATTGATAATAATAGGTGAAGAACTGGAGACAATCCAAATGTTCAGTAGGAAGTTTATTAAAAGTATCATAGAATGCTCTGTAGCCTTTAAAAAGAATGAGAGACCATATGTAAAATAGATAGCCAACGGGAATTTGCTGTATGGCTCAGGAAACTCAAACAGGGCTCTGTATCAACCTAGAAGGGTAGAATGGGGAGGGAGATGGGAGGGAGGTTCAAAAGGGAGGGGATATATGTATACCTATGACTGATTCATGTTGAGGTTTGACAGAAAACAACAAAGTTTTATAAAGCAATTATCATTCAATAAAAAAATAAATTTTAAAAAGCACTTAAAACAAAAAAAAGAAAAAGAATGAGAGAGATCTTGATATATTTGCAGAAGCAGTGTCCCCCATATACTGTTCATTGAGCTTTTTAAAATTCAGATTGTGGAATGGTGCATTTATTAAAATAAATTATTTGACTTGTCTAGATATATTGATTGGAGAAGGCAATGTCACCCCACTCCAGTACTCTTGCCTGGAAAATCCCATGGACGGAGGAGCCTGGTAGGCTGCAGTCCGTGGGGTTGCTAAGAGTCGGACACGACTGAGTCACTTGACTTTCATTTTTCACTTTCCTGCATTGGAGAAGGAAATGGCAACCCACTCCAGTGTTCTTGCCTGGAGAATCCCAGGGACAGGGGAGCCTGGTGGGCTGCCGTCTATGGGGTCGCACAGAGTTGGACATGACTGAAGTGCCTTAGCGGCAGCTTAGCAGTAGCAGCAGATATATTGATAGAAAAAGTCTGGAAATACATTTATCAGCAAGCTGTTACTCAGGATAGCTGCTGCTAAGTCGCTTCAGTCATGTTCTACTCTGTGCGACCCCGTAGATGGCAGCCCACCAGGCTCCGCTGTCCCTGGGATTCTCCAGGCAAGAGCACTGGAGTTGGTTGCCATTTCCTTCTTCAGTGCATGAGAGTGAAAAGTGAAAGTGAAGTCACTCAGTCGTGTCTGACTCTTCGTGACCCCAAGGACTGCAGCCCACCAGGCTTCTCTGTCCATGAGATTTTCCAGGCAAGAGTACTGGAGTGGGTTGCCATTGCCTTCTCCACAGGATAGAGGATAGATTACCACAAGACACTGACCTACTTTAAATATTCTTTAGACTTTGAATTGTCGACAGAGGGTATGTGTTTTATAATAATAGCTATTAATAGGTAGCATTTATCAACTGCTTACAGTGTTTCACCATGTTTTATGCACATTAGCTTATTTGATGCTCACAGTGCTAAGTGAAGTAGGTGCTCTTGACCTACTTTGTAGATTAGGAAGTTGAGGTTGGTCAACTCAGGAGATGTTATTTAATCTGAGTGCTGTCTGACTCTAATGTCTTTGCTGTTGACGACAAAAGATTTTCTACCTCCCTAGGAAAAGGGCAGTGCAGAAAGTTCCATTTTGGGGAACACACACACTTGAACATTTCACTTTTGGCATCCTGTTACCCACAGGGCACAGAGAGTTGGCTGCCTCGAGTCTCTGGTGATTCTTCAGTTGCTTACCCTTTCATTTAGGAAGTGGGAGAGAAAAAGATGTTAAACATATTGACCACTTTTCCAGGAGCACCTTTCACAGAAACTGTTTTTCTAGGGTATTGCTATCCTAAGAGATGTTCTGTTCTTTAATTTCCAAGCTGGCAAAACCAGAGGAGTGCTCTGGACTGGTGCTTCCTCCCGTCCTCTGACATTAGGATCCCCTCTTCCATCACACAGGCCTTGGCTTTGCTTCGCCTCGCCTCCCTTCCAGAGCGCTGTCCCTTTCTTATTCCTCCTGGCAGTAATTTGCAGCTTCACTGCACACCCACCATAGCACTCATCGCCACAGGAAGCACTATTGCCCAGGGTCTAGTTGTTCTGCAACTGTTTATAGGACCATCAAAACTTTTTTAAAGGAAAGAAGTCAGTCTGACAGGAGTTTAAGAGCTGGACATCGTGCTTTTCACCTCTAATAGCCAACTTCCAAATGTCTAGCATTTTCCTTTCTAGAAAATATTTTGGTGGGAGTTTGAGTGCCAACATTTTTATCACAGAACCAGAATGTTTGAAAAGACAGATTGCAAAAGGGAATTCCTTTGGGGACAGTGCTGAATTTGTTGCTTTTTCTCTTGAAGTTTCTCTCAGGGCTTACTGTGTCTGTGGGGTATAAGACAGGGCCATACATAATGTCTGGCAGCTGCTGGTATTTTCCAAGTGGCCCAGTGCCAGGGAGAGGTTGCCAGCAGACAAATATATGCACCTTTCTTTGCAGAGCCTTTCCCCCCTCCTCTTTCTTCTCTATTTGGATCTCAGGTACAGAGAGAATGATTTAATCATTCTCCCCGATTTGTCATACGTGATCATCCCAGACCCCTCCCACCCTCCCTCCCTGCCTTCCTTCGTGTGTTCGTTCATTCACTCATTCCCTTGGAATTCTTTTCCCACCTC